CAGAGGCGCTTTCGCTTCTGGCAGGACCTCATGGAGTCTGCAGCAGCAGCACCACAATCGCGCCCAAGGCATGCCTGGCGTTGCTGAGGTTCGTCAAAAATTGTCTGCCGTACTCGGCTGCTTACACTGGCCTTTTGCTGCAACATCTGCTGCAGCAGCAGTGCCTTGATATCCCTCGCAACAGCAGCAGCAACGGCGACTTTCGGCAGCAGCGCGCGCGACCTGCTGTTTCGCCCAGCTGCGGCAACAGCAGCAGGCAGGAACCCCTGGCACTGGCAGCAGCGGCAGATGTTTATGTTCTCCCAAGGGCGTTTCAGGTGGAGCAGCAGCTTCTGCTGTTCGAGGCGGCCGGGGTTCTGCTGGGCTGCAGGCAGCAGCTGCAGGGTCGGACCGCGAACGCCGCCCAAGAGCACGTCGTGCTACTGCATGCATTGCTGGCGAAGGCCACGGCGGCCTTTACTACCCAGATTGTAAGCCCCGTAGCTTCAGGTCTCCACCAGTTGAATTCAGGTGCAGCGTTATAGGTTCTATGCCTTCAGTAGCCGGCCTGCAACAAGAGGCTCTAGGGAGCACCCCCACCCCACCCCAGAAAAGCTACTGTTTTAAGGTTTTATCCCAGCTTTTCTTTCGCTTCTGCTTTTCTTTTTCGTGCATCTGTATTAACATTTAGTAAGGATTTCGATGCTTTGTTTCCTTGGGTGTTACTGCAGCCTTCTGGGGGGGACGCCGCCTCGGCAGTGGCCGTGTATTGCTCGCGTTGCGCCAACGCGTTGGCTTCTCTTTCAAAGGGTTTTCAGCCCTTCAAGCAACCGGTCCCCCCCACGGCGAGTGGGGGGGCCATTGGGGGTGCCTTGTGCAATTCAGAGACTGAGGCAGAGGCCTCCGTACTGGGTGAATATAAGAAATCCTGGCTACAGGCGTTGCAGCTCTTCACGGACGCTGTTCGCGTAAGCCCTCACACCTCTGTGGAACTATGTTGGTGGCTTAGGATGTGGGGCAAGGGTTGTTCGTTAAGGTACTAGGGTTTGGGCTTAGATTGTGGGCCCAGGATTTAGAGTTTAGGCTAGGGAAATCAGCAGCCGGCTGCTTGTGCTCACAGGCAGCCAACGCATGACCTGCTGCCCGTGTATTACGCTTACACTCTTTCCTTGCGGTGATGTGAAGTGCGTTTTGTAGTGTTTGTCGGGTGCCAGCGCGCATGTGTGGATATGTATGCCCGCTTTTGCGTTTCTTCGGCTGAGCGTGAGAAGCTGCTGTGATGATGGTGACGGGACGGTGCGCTGTTGTGCTGACAGGTTGCCGGGGCAGAGGGCAGCCCTCTAGAGGTTGGAGGCACTAGCCTTGTGCTGCTTCCTCCTTTCCTGCATGCATCAGTCTTCCTCTTGCGGCGGCTTCTCTCTCTTTTGGGGCCCCTCGCAGCCTCTTCCATTGGTGCTCTGCTACCGTTGCTGTATGATGCTGTCCTGGTGGAAGCTGACGGTGCAGCGCAGGCAGCGGCTGCATCGAGTAGCCTGCAGCAGCAGCAGCACTCCCCAGAACTCGCCGCTGAGCTTCTTAGCGGCTTCTTCATGCAGCTCTTTGTGTCCTTGAAGGGGCCTCCTCTCCTGTTCTTGCTACTGCAACATTTCCCTCTGTAGGCTGCCATCCCTTTTGAGCTCTTTCTGCCACTGCGCCGCTTTTTTCTAGCTGCAACGAGTTCTTGGCGCACACGAGTTCAGCTACCCTGCTGTATTTCCTGTTTTTGTTGCAAAACAGGCGTAGGATGCTGCAACGTCTGTCTGGGTTATGTTTTCTGTTCGGTGCAGGGTGCTGGAGAGGCATGTGGGCCTGTACCTAAAAGCCGTTGCTGCATCGTCTCAGGAACCCAACTCTGCCGAGCTGCAGCGAGAGTGTCGAGGTATGCAGGAGCAGTTGGCCTGTGTCCTTGCAACGGCAGCCAGGGAGGCGCCGGAGGCGCTTCTGCGTTTCGCTGCTGCTTCGCTGCTTCACGCTGGCAGCAGTAGCAACACCGGGGACA